GATTAATATCACATGTTACCACTGATCCAGTTAAATTCATCACACAATACGATATAAGTATTTGACATTACGAAGTGCATGATCATGTACATGGTCATTGTAGTAATATACATACTAGTAAACTTGATTATATTTTTGTAGCATAGTGTAGCGCGTCATTAACAATTACTATCTGATATCCGCACTTGTCATTCGTGTATTGACATCGAACAATGGGCGACAATTCGACATTAATTTTCGAGCTATGAATAGCTTCAACAGGGACAGTACCGGTGTCAGTAAAGTATTCGTAGTTATCTATATGTATCTATTAAATATTATGTAGAGAAGACCACAACAATGCTTACTTTCTGGGATAGAAGTGAGGTAATCTAGACTTGCCAAATCGTTCTAGACTTGAGCTGGATTCCTTTTAAATTTATTCTCTATGGTCTGAGAGATACACAAGGGCGTCAGTATCGCATGGAAAACTGACGTGAGAATCACGCCTGGGCCAGCCTCGGTCAGTGTAATCGGATATATTGTGAAGTTCCGACTGTTTGCTGAATAGAACAGGGGCTCGCGAACAAGGGCACAAAGTAGAGATTAAAACATTACCACCTCACACAAGTCTGTTCGTATCAGATATGATATTGTGATTTGAAATCTCGTTTTGAAAAATTGCGAGTTATTGTATACTCTGTATTCTTTCGTCATGGTTGAATACATATTTTCTGTGTTGCTTTTTAAATTATCCACAAATAATAAGAACTACAATGTTAACATCTATCTGGAGATATATAATAATAATACTAAAGCCCATATCTGATAAATGGGACTAATCGACTAATTAATATTTCTTTCTTAAACACTGCCCGTTACAGTCATTCTAATCATTATATTATATGCCATGTATAGTTTAGAAGTTGAGAAATATTGCATTTCAATGTTGAATTCATTATGATTTCTGCAATAAAAGCTCAACACTTGAGACTGATATGAACGGATATGATCCATACTGTGATAAGTGAATTATTAATTTCTTATTATGAATTAGGGGGCACGGGTGGCCCAGTCGTCTAAGGCGCCGCGATTCGCTGTGCAGAGTTGCGTCCCTTGGGCACGCCAGAAATCTATGATTGTGGGTTCGAATCCCGGTTCGCCCCAATTATGTTTCTAGGTTTGTCAGCACCATACCCGTGCTCGTGGGTTTCACCGAAGTGGTAAAATTTTGAAACCTGCATCACTTGGGGCTTTCCTCCCACATTAAGCTGACACGCCGAGATATGACTGTAATACTGTTAAAAGCGGCGTTAAACCCAACTCACTCACTATTATGAATTAAATAAACTGAAATACAAAAAGATAGTACAAACAAATCATTTTAATCTGTTCTTGTGAGTAGGTAACCAGAGATCAGGCAACTCACTGACGTAACCATTTGTGAAAAATCAAATATTCAACGTTTAGGTGTTTGAAAATGTGCATTGTATGACAGGAAATCAACACAATGATTAAATGATTAATCCAATTGTTTTATAAATAAAACTAAATATATAGAAAATAAAAGTTTAATTTCTCATTGTTGGAAGGTGTTTAATAATAGTGTTTGTTTGATTGTTTGTTGTTAAACGCCGCATGCAGCGATATACCAGCTATATGACGGCGGTTTGTAAATAATCGAGTCTGGACCAGACAATCAAGTGATTGATATCATAAGCATCGATCCACGCAATTGCGATACGATGACATGCATAAACAAAGTCAGCGAGCCTGACTACCCGATCCCTTTAGTCGCCTCTTACGACAAGCATTAGTCTGGCATACAGATCATGAAAAAAATATATCCAATACAGCCCATGCAAGTCTATAATGTTTGGCAAGTCTAGATTACTGCAGCATCAGGTGAATGAAGAAAATTTCTGGGCTCCTTTTTATTATATTTTAAAATTATAATTTACCAACTGTTAGTCTAGAAAGGAATAGTCGCCTCTAACGGCAAGAAGACATATTTTAGGATTCAATTGAAATATTAAAATGAGATAAAACTGAATTATGTTTGCTGTTTACATATCAAAGTTGTTATAAAATGTTTGGCCGTAGCAAGGCTACGTATTCACAACATATTGTGCTAGGCACAGAAAAGCTGGACTGAGCGAGGGCCAGGCGACCCTTTCTCTCGCTAATCAGCAACCATATTAGCAACGCTTGGTAATTTGGGACGGAAAACTGCAGGGGGTGAGGGCAGTTAAGTTGATGGTGCACACAGATAAGAGAGATTATTTTACAACTGTGAAACCTCATTCCACAAAGGAAGAGGGGAAAGAACAGAGTCAATAAGCTTCGCTCAGTCACACCAGAGTAAGTCAGACCATGATTGAAAACTGCCCAATCATGATGTATGGCAGACCAGTCGAGTAGTGCTACATGTATATGTGAAAGGAAAGTTATTAAAATGAAGAGCAAAACTGTTGGAAGTTACCAAGAAACGTGTATAAGTGTAATATTGTCACTGCAAAAGTAATGACGAGTGTTTGTCTTCAGTATTAACATTTAAATGCGTGGTATATATATCAGCGATATAGTCTACGTTGCACCGGTGAGTAAGCGTACATGCAAGTCTTACTATCTCGTAGTATATACAATGTATATTTGCAAGAAAGTGCTTTTCTGAAGACATCACGATACAGTTTTTACGATGCATAATGTTTGCACTAGCGCTTGATAACAGCCTTGTGTTTGTGTTTTAGTCGTTTTAATTGCTGCTCTTGATATTGTTGATTAAACTTTGATATTATGAACAATATAAGGTAATATGAGAGGATGAATTTAGAAAAGGCCCGTAATCTAACACGCGCGAACTGATCACTGAAATCTGAGAAGTAGAAATACCGGGAGACGCTGTTGCTTGATTGACAGTGTCAGTCAAGAAAGGGAGGGACTTGATGACATAGTTCTCTCCCAGTAAATTCCGATGTCAAATAACGACGTTATTTAGATGGAAATACGATGGTTCGAAAGCGTCCAAAAAAAGTCGTTTTTCCGTCCAATTACCATATACGGGAAAAAACGACCGTGTTTGCAGTGAACAGGGGAATGAACTTCAATGCAACAGTGTAGCTGCATGTGTGTTAATACTTATAAAGTGAAAACCATTCCCCCGGAATAAAAATTTGATGCAAATAGCTTCGAGAATTATGAATTACATAGTTAAGAAAACGCGACGTAAATGTTTCACACCATACCCTCATGTGTTGCCGTAGCTGGGGCAGACAATCACGTCGACAAATTAAACGACGCGGGTTCGAACTCCACTGGCGATACATGTTATCCGACAAAACTTGAAAGCATTCACTTGTTGAAATATTTTAAAAAATAGTTCCGTCACTTCCAAGTGCAAAGTAATTCAAATGTTGGTTCAATATAATGTATAGTTGACAAACAGGTCTCCATTCCTGAAAAATAACTGAGCGTTTAAACAATACATTGGCGTCACAGATGTGTTTTAATGGATTCAACCATGGTAAGCATGCATAGGTGTACAGTGCAGATGTGAATAGGAATAACATAGCTGAAGCAAAGATGGGCCCAAGTGGTCTAGTGGTGGAAAAGTTATCGAAACGGTGGGACATCCATCCGACATGTTAGCAGCTGTTAACTACGGTTATAGCGAACTCAAAGGGACCACAAATTGTAGTTCGTTATAACCGTAATTCGTTATTAGCAAATATACAGAAGAGATACAGCAAATGGCAGGGACCTAAAAACCAGTTCGTTATATCCACCAGTTCGTTATAGGCGTGTTCGTGTCAACCGTAGTTTACGGCATATGTAATCGGGTCCTGCCGAGCTAGAGAAAGTTTAATCCTGCTCGGGTTGTGTAAATATGTTGGACAATTTACCTGCAGGCAGGTATTGAACCTACGTGTTTTTTTAAACAGGTCATGTATTCAACACTGCATCCGCAGTAAACATTCGTTCCCTTCTTTGTGACATCACATTTTCTTCCTTATTCAACAGCTGCCTGCAGTGGGACCGCAAGGGGGCAGAGATGTTTGTTTAATCTTGCCATGAATTCGTTTTATTGATATAAGCGAATACTGCTTAAGGATATAATAGCTTACTTTGTGTTGTTTAAATTTAATTAGGAGGCCTTGGTAGTCTCTGGAGAACAATATGATTATAAGGTACCTGCTCATTAGACCCGTGATGATCCGGGATAGAATAAGTCTTCAGGAACCCATGCTTGCCGTAAAAGGCGACTATGCTTGTCGTAAAAGGCGACTGACGGGATAGGGGGGTCAGTCTCGCTAACTTGGTTGATGCATGTCATCGATCCCAATTACGTGGATCGATGCTCGTGATGTCAATAACTGGATTGTCTGGTCCAGACTCGATTATTTACAGAACGCCGTCATATAGCTTGAATATTGCTGAGTGCGGTAAACAACAAACAAACAAACAAACACACATGCTAATTACGTTCTGAACTGAATATTAAAATATATTGATAGACAAAGTATCATAACCAAAGCTCACACTGCGTTGCAAGTGATTTCGCACATGGTTTCGTTCACTTTACCAAGTGAGACACTTAAGTGCAAGGCGAAACAGGGATATGTTTTGTTTTCTAAAACTGAAGCAAATATATTTTTAGTTTCATGTTCAGGATAACAATAATTTCATTCCCCCAAAATCATTCTGTCATAAATCAAGTCGATTGATTGATTATTATTAGAAATTTCATTGCAGCATGGAGATTTTATGTCCAATCGATTCAACTCTTCCACGGCTTTGTCAGTCGACAATAGCAAATGGGACACCGGTTGTATCGTCAGGTCATGGAAACCTAAGGAGATAATTCCCTTGCCCTTAGTTCGTCATAGTCTCAAAATATAGCACAACGTTTCTATAAATATTGACATATGAACAAAAGGCTTCGACATGTTCATTGTTAGGTGTTGTTTTCGATTAAGTTAAACTTGTACAATAGTTGAAATTCGAAGTTTAACAGAACTCACCCATTGCGACAGAAAGCTAAGATCCAGCAGAGAACATGCACACCTTGTCACTGCAGAGCGTGGACGCTCACTGACGTATTGTGAGCATCTGCTGTAATTTGCATTGATCTATGGGAACGTGTTAGGGTCATAAACATGATCTGTGCAATATTATATTTGCGGTTTGTAGAGCGACGTGAAGTGAGATGAAATGGGGGTTATCGCGATCAAGATTATCGCCTTACATATGCCTTCACTGTTTGTAAACATGTATGTTAATGAAACGACAAAACCCTTTCCATATCCAATAGAAATATCTGCATAAAGCAGAGTCGTTTGTGCAATTTCGACTATATCATGAATATGTGCTTATGAATCACTATCACTTAGTAATGATATCCTGCCCCATCGGTGGCACCCGTCACAAACACATGCAAAGGCAAATCAATTGTTCACCTGAATAAGGCATGGAAACTTCTGGTACAAGTCACAAGTAATACTTCCCATTGTATCACATCATACTTCTTGTTTTGTCGGGGCGGGGACGTAGCCTAGTGGTTAAAGTGTTCGTTCGTCACGCTGAAACCCCGGGTTCGATGCCTCACATGGATACAATGTGTGACGCCCATTTCTGGTGTCCCCTCATATTGCTGGAATATTGCTAAAAGCGGTGTGCCTGGCGGGCCGAGTCTTGGAAAGGTATATCCATGTTACAATAAAACAAATCAATAGTTGGCATCGATGTGGCTCTCGGCAACATCTTTTATCATGCATACACACTTATTCAAACAGGCTGTAAATGTCGTCACCATCGTTTTCGTATCATGCTGCTCCGACTAAAAGGTTTGCATACGCCTTTGTTTACGTAACGAAATAACGACTGATTGTGTGTGTGTTGTCAGAGGGCCTTCACAGCTGTTGTTGCAAAAAGACACTTGCATGTTAACAGTTTAATCAATGGTTGTATACATTCCTGAAATCTTTATATTTTCCCGTTATTTTCATTGTTGCATATAATTCTGCCTAGGGCCTTCATAAATGGTATAAGTGATATGAAGCCTTTTACATTTGTTTTTGAAATAGTCGCAACTGATATATTGAAGGTCAAATAAACTTTCAATGTCTTTCAGTAAAAAATATTCACAGTAACTGAGGAAGAGCTCTGTGTAGTGCGATGAAATCTGGTAATGTCACCCTCAGAGTGAGGCATATTGTGTTTCAAACCTCAATGAAGCTGGTATGTCTAGATATAACAAGTACTTGTACCGTTACAGATAATCTTCTTATCATCTCACCAGGACCAAAGGCCCAAGTGAGCACATTGTCGATGACTTTATACTTTCACTCAGAACAAACTGGAAGTCTGAACATGAAATTTATGGATATCATCATACATGTATTAGAACTGATGTATGTTCATTAAACAGCTTAACATCTAAAATGAATTATAGATGAAATGTCTTGCCCAAAAGTACATGCTCAACTTTAAGGGGATGTTTACAACTAAAACAACACAAAATATTACTTCAGCTATCTGATATGCCCAGGCTAACATTATTTACTAGAAAAAAGACATCTCGAAAAATTGCATCTGGATACCTGCCGGATACCTCCCGGATACCTTCAGCAGTGTTCAATTCTCTTGGTTAGTTTCAAATATATTTTTAGGTGTTTCACACTTAATTGAACAAAATGCATCCCCCAAATTGTGAAACATTTTAAAAAAAACTTTTTAGGTATCCGGTGGGGTATCCGGTGCCGGTTCCTTGGACACCCAGATTGAGGTATCCGGTGAGGTATCCGGTGCCGGTGTCACGAAATATATTCGCCCCCAGAATAAAATCTCCCCCCGGCGAATTTATACCGGTACAGTTCCGCCCCTCTCGAAATAAACTCTCCCCCACCCTACGAAATAAAATCTCCCCCCAGAATATTTCCTCCCCCGGTCGTTTTATAAATACTTGCCATGCAGTTGCCAATAGTTTTAATGTTAATTTGTTTATGTGTTTTTTTATTCATTTTTTTTTTATCTCCTTTATTTTTTCTGAATTATACATTTAGTTACTTGTGTGGGGTGTGGGGTGTGTGGTGGGGGGTAGGGGGGTGTCCCACCTTTCCTTTCGTTTTTCATAATAATATATTTTTAAGTTGTATATAACGTATGAATCCCTTCTCAGATTACTTTATCTCAGTTCTATATGACGTACTATTTTACTTTTCTGTGTCGTTCTTGTTTTCTCTTCAGTGTGAGGTTAAACTGTATCATTTTTACTATTTTGATATTTTGCAATATGTTGTGTTCATCAGTTATGCAAATCAGTTTCGGTGTGTCTTTTTAACAAGATGTTCTTCATTAATATTCACCGCCAGCCCCATTGTAACAATTACATGTACACTTTGCTTTGACGATGCCGGTTGATGTTGTTCAATACAGGTGTTTTTGAATCTATTCTAGATGCTAATCATTTCGGGAAGATGATACACATTATCTATATTTTGGGTTACTTTGCTTATAAAGATTATACATGTAAACGTACGCAGTCTTAGTAGATTTTAAAGTAGATTTAATCAGTGCTGAATTAGATAGTTATGATGTTGTATGTTTAACAGAAACCTGGTTGCACCATGATATTCTAGCCCCTGGTATTACACTGATACCATTTTCAAACGGTAGCCTGTATTAAGGAATATATTTTAGATCTTTAACCAGAGTATAACGGCGTGGATATGTTGACAGTTTTTACGTAGTTAGTGTTAAAACCGAATGTTTGCGAGGATTAATAAGATCTCTGAAATCAGTTACATCAGTAGTTCCGGTGTCCCGAAATATATTCGCCCCCAGAACTGTTTCGATTTGCCAATGGAAATACTACACCATAAATGAACTGTTTCGATTTGCCAATGGAAATACTACACCATAAATGAACTGTTTCGATTTGTGCGGTTTCACCAACCGTTCAAGATAACTAATACTCTCTGTCAATGCGTTCAACGTGTAAATGCATTTCATACCTGATATATTGACATGGTCCCAGCTGGCAAACAAGAGTTCTAAGAGCTTACTGTTTCGGCATAACTTCATCTATTCATCGGAGGCAACAGATTTTTGCAAACAATTGCGTCATCACAGATTTTCAGTGATCCATTAATATATTTGTACCGCTATTGTCAACGTTCACGCCAAAAGGAATTTTTTCGTTGGAAAATCGAACTTGGTTATTCTCTAGCATTGATGTTTCACATTTCTATGGTTGTTTACGGTTGTTTCTATGGTTCATAACAACATCTGGTGTCACATGACACAAAATAATATGTGTATGCCTGAAGTAAATAATATTTTATTCAGGAAATAATAGCTAGAATTGGTTACCCGAGCAGACTAAATGGTTATATTTCCCTTTAATATAACAGTGTTTCAACACACAAAAATGTTAAACAAACACACGTTTGTGTTTACCGTTATACTTGCCCATGTAGCCGTCGTATACATGTAAATATATAAATGTTGTGTACAGTCATGGGTGGAATTGAATACAATATTGAAATAAGGAACGTGTTCATGAGGCGAGACATTTCAAAACAATATACAATCTAAAGTGTTGAATATCTTCTTTGGTTGACTACAAACTACAGTTTTTACACGTGCACATACCTTAGCTACATCATAAATAATATATATTTTATATTTTTTTGTTATCTATAAATACCCACATCTAAAATCAACCAACATCCCAGAAATACAATTTCACGTAGTTAAAATTATAAATCTACTCAATAGAATACAAATGGATCCCAGAACGATGCTTGATTTCAGGACCAGAACTTAGGCAATCTAGACTTGTCAAATCATTCTTTACTTGGAGTCCGTTTCAAATATATTCTCTAGGATCTGGGGACAGATAGAGTAACACATAGTCAATGAAAACATTTCTTTAAAATATATTTTTTTTATTCGGAAGAACCTTTCTCCTTCTGCTGTTATGGAATCAACTAAACTAGACTTGGTTAGTATGATCTAGACTTGCCTAGGAATTTAGTAAAACAGAATACCTAAAAAATATAAATTCCACAGTCATGGCGCAGGACCAGGCCTAGGAGACAGACTACCGCGTGAGTATTGCATTGAGAACTGACGGAATCCCGCTAGGGTCAGCCTGAGCCAAGTGTAATCGGATATGTTGCTAGGTCTCGAGTTTGAACTGTTGGCATAATAGAACAAGCTTGGGCACAGTGGTGCAATAAAGGGGTTAGTTTTCTTCCGGGATTGTTAATGTAGAGATTAAAGCATTATCAACGCACAATTTGTCTGTTTTAAAAAGAAAATGTGCTATTGTGATTTCATATTCATAATAATGCTATGCTGTACCAGTACATGGATATTACTTGCTTGTACTCGAGGTACATTGATAACGTATGCTTGTAAAGGCTGGCATGGGACTCGGTGTAGCCGGTGTTGGTTTACTATCAACTATAACCGCCACGCCTATCGTACTTGACATGGAAATAGCCGCTGGAGTCTCTGGACTGGCAGGAATAGCGATAAAATTTATTTCTCGTAAGTTGCCAAAGAAAGCATTAAAACATGATAATATTCGGATACTCGCCGAATGAGTGAGTGAGTTGGGTTTAACGCCGCTTTTAAAAGTATTCCAGTTACATCACGGCGTGTCAGCTCATAATCGGGGCGAAGCGGGATTCGAACCCACAATCATAGGTTTCTGGCGTGCCCAAGGGACGCAACTCTGCACAGCGAATCGCGGCGCCTTAGACGACTGGGCCACCCGTGCCCCCGATACTCGCCGAAGCAAAGTTGAACAGCATTGAGGATCATATTTCAACAGCACTGGCTGATTGTAAGATATCCGAGGAGGATTTTCGTTCAGTGTTGTCAGAACTCACCAAATACAACACAATAAAGCAGGAGATTCGATCTTAATATCGTAAGATCAGTGGTATTAGCGAAGACGAGAAAAAAGTACATAGAACAGGGGACACAAGCGCGTCAATTATTCCGTGCCAAAACCAAAGAACTGGTTGGAGATTAAAAATAGATTGTTTCCTATCATTGGATCGCACCGCATAACAAATCATACATTCA